AAATATGGGGCACTTGTGTTTTCTGGTAGGTGCAACATATATTTGCTCACGCGCGGCAAAAATTGATTACAAATTATGAATACATGAAAATAATAAGATTGTTTTAAAACTTATTTTATGTTTAATGAAATATATTGACAAAGTGCAATATATATATATATAAGGTGCATCATAAAATCTGCATACATCAAAATTCAGGAATATACATTTTGATGAATCTATGTGTGACTACTTCCTTCAACAAAAATTCCGCTAGAGACCACCATGTTTTCTATTATTCTGAAATTTTCATCTTAAATTTTTCAATAACTAATTCTCAAATTTTAAGATTTACTTGTAATTAACTTGGAAATTAAGTCATTTATTGTTATTTATACTGTTTGTGTATCGAGATAAAATTCAGCTTGCTAGAAGCCAAAAAACATTTAATGTTAAGCAAATACATAATTGTATCTAGATTACAATGGATGATAATGATAGAGAAGTTTTTTCCAAATTTCATCAAATAATATCTCTGAATATAATGCAAATTTTATAAATATACCTTGTATTTTATATATTGCATTGTATATAATATTTAAGAGGAGGGTACATTGAAGATTGGAATATATACATTTTAACATCAATCCTTATTCAGATTATAGAATGGAAATTAATCCATTGAAGCAATTAATTAGATTGTATAAATATTAAGTTCATTTATTACATTATTAGTTGCTTCTATCGACTAGCGCGCTTTTAAATTTTATAAATTATTTAATCCTACAAATCATATATAGGTTCACTATATTTACTTTTTGGCTTTAATATTTGATGCAAGTACAATCTTTATATATTATTACATAAATAATATCATCATGATAAATTTCTAAATTTATGAAATGATCTTTTTAAAATTAGATTTAGAAGTTTCTTTTTTATTTCTATTATATATTATCTTATCATTTTTGAATCAATATGAAATAATTATACACATTTTGTATTCACAAAAATAAAAAAAAAAGAGTGCCCTAGACAAATTATTGGGTAATTTAAATGCATTACATTTTTTTACGATTGCTTTAACAAAATCAATATTCTTTATGCAATCTTACATTTCGGAATTTTCATTCTTTTGAATTTTAATTGTTTGCACAGAATATATCACATATGCTGTACAATTTGCATAGAGATATATAAAGATGTTTGCTATATATTGCAGAAAATTTAACATGTTAGATCTTAATGTGTTAAAGTAATCGTTATAATGTTGATATTTTTGTGGAGAAATAATCTAAAATCTAAAATTAATTATTTCAGAGCCTCTTGCGTATTGAAATCTGAACAGTTCAATTATATAATTGAGTTAGCTACGAGAGGACAGTACGATTTTCCGCAGGTTATCAAAAGAGGTTTGATGCACGCGGTAGTACAGGCCGGTACAGTAGTGCAAAGTACAAGTACAGAACAGTACTATTGGTCGCAAACTTTAGAACCTTTGCAAAACAAATGTACGCAATTAATTTCTAGTGATAATTTTATGTCATCTTATCATCAAGAGGAGATTAGGATCCAAATCATAGATATACTGGAATCCTTTATAGGTAAAAAATTTGTTACAGAAATATTTATGTTTAAATTTTTAAGCAATTAATGACATTTTCGATTTAAAATTGGATATATATAAATGTCATGTTATTTAAATAGGTGTAGTACATGGTGTGCAAGGTCCGACAACAGAACCCGTATATCGATATACCTGTCCTATATTAGTCGAACTTCAAAAATTATTGTCTTTGTATCATAATTATCAAAATATAGTTCAATTGATATTAGAGCTGCTCTGTGAATATACAAGAAATATTTTATTTTATTTGTCAGAGGTAAGTTTCGCATGCATTAATTTATATAAGCGATTGATGTGATTAACTTTTACTTTGGTAGTTTTAATCTTAATCTGATATTTTTTATTTTAGGCTGATAGTACACGTGTGTATGAGACTTGTTTGCAAACGATACAGACATATGCTCGCTGCAACAGTAATCGGCTTACCGTAGATTCGACTGCGGAAGAGGACAGTTTCCAAGATATTCTATTACTCATGCAATTATTAACTAATTTATTAAGCAAAGACATACTTAATTTTAATAATACCGAGCAAAATCAGCCTCCATCTACCATGCCTGCAGATGTTTTCTTTTACGGCTTAAATATAATCATGCCTATCATGACAATAGATTTGTTAAAATTTCCATCGCTGTGTATACAGTAAGTAAAACTAACTTGCATCGTAATACATAGTATACACGATAAAAAATATTATAAAAAAATTATAGTAAAAAAAAGAGAGTATATGTGTATATACTAGATACAGTTTTTTGAATGATTTCGAACAATTTAGATTAAAATAAGTTAAACAATGTAAATAGCTTTTTAAAAAATTTTGTTAAGAAACTCGAGCACACATTATTTGAGGGATTTTAGACTTTGAATCAGTTTGCTATATTCATTTTGTGACATCTTTATCTTTATTACATTTGCATATACATATTATTAGTTGCTTTTTTTTAAATAGGTATTTCAAAATGATAGCCTTTGTATGCGATATATGTCCTGAGAAAGTTTGCGGCCTATCTACCAAACTGTTGCAGCAGCTTTTAGCATCGGTGGAATTAGGTTTATATTCATTTGGCCATGAAGTAGCTGTCTTATGCTGTGATACTATTCAAGTCTTAGCCAAGCATATTTATACGGAATCTGCGAAAGGACAACCGCGCAATGACATAATGGCACCTTTTATGAATGTGAGTTTTTCAAATCAACTGAAATATAACGTGCGCGTCTTTTTTAAAATAAATTCTGAAATACCAAATTTCATTTTTCAGTTACTGATAAGTCTCATTTTGTCACATCAAATGGATTCAGATTTGATAACGAGTGCTAGTATACCTCTTTATTATCTCATATGTTGCTATCAGGAGCAATATCAACAACTTGTACAAAATATTTTATCCACCCAAACAGATCAACAAGTAGCACAGAGATTAGCGAGCGCGTTCACAGCATTAACCGCGAATGTGGGATTAAGTACTGAACGTATTCAAAAAGTAAAGTTTAAGGATAATTTCGATAAATTCATCATAAATGTACAGGGATTCTTAATGATTAAGTAAAATAAAAAAATTAAAAATGTAAATATAAAAAATAAAAAAGTCTATTTAAACAATATACACGTGGATTTAAACATTATCGTCTCCTGAGATACATGGATATTACCTCGTATTTTCGCGTCGCACGTTTAAAAAACCATCTTTTCCTTATTTTTATAAAGGACCTATCATAAATGTCTTGAAAACCAATTTGACTCAAAAGTGATTATATTCGAGTTAATTTCAAAAAATTGGTTTTTTTCCAAATATATAAAAAATATGTGTCTCTTAAATTATTGTATTTAACAAGGTATTTGCGCGTCTATGATAGATCTCTCGTCAGTTCATTTTTATCCCCGCTATAAAAACAATTAATCGTAAACGTACGACGGGAATATTTAATATTCTTAGAATGGATAATATATCGTGAAGAGAACTTATATTAAGCATATAAGCTTTTTATTGACCGATTTATTACACGTTACCACTTACAGTGAGCCTCTAGCGAAAAATTCGAGTAACCATAATAATATATAATATATTTATAATAAATACTAGTTACAGCGTCGATGCACGTTTCCAATAGCAAACGATTAAACGAAAACATTTTTGTAATGTGAATGTTTAGTGTTATTACTTTATAAACAAAATACATGAACTTACATACTTGGTACAGATCCGCATCATCGTTAGCCTTCCCTTGTACATCTGGCGATGATGATTCTCAACGTTTCACAAAATGCTTAAATTAACATTAAATTTATTTATATATATTTATATAATTTAGTTTGTATATTATGTATATATATAAGCGAACGTGTCCTTTCGCGCGCTCTTTTACATATTTTCCCTTTCGCACATCTACGTTCTCTCTTGTTTCTTCCCACTCGGGATTCTATCGCATTCTTTCTCTTTTTTTGTCGATCTTGCTTTCTTTCAGTCTTTCATACATACTTTCATTCTCACCTTATCGTTCTTTTCTCTTATATTTTGTCTACTATAATAATAACAATAATTATTAATCTCTCCAACGACTTAAATATGATGTAAACTCCTTCGTAATATGCGTTTTTGCTCTTTTGTTCTCTTTTTTTCCCTTTCTTTTTTTCTCCTTTCGTCATGTGTACCACTTTCTTTTCGGCGTAGTCGATAGAGAGCCTATTATGTTCAACTTATATAATTACGAGTTTAAAATACATTACGGTGTATTGTTAACAAAATAAAACTATCAAATACTACAACAGTCAGCAAGCGAAAACGATAATAGTGATGGGGCATTACATTCGCGTAAGCCACGATTTGAGAATTGTCGATTCGGGGAGGGAGATCGAGGAAAAAATAAAAAATCGGCCTCGAAATTGAGCGCGTAAGACTAGAATCAAGCGAGTTAAGATTTATAATCGTCTTCCGTCAAGATACCGGAGACCTTGATCGGGAAATCTTGCCCTTCGAGAGATATATCAAGGTACACGAAATCGATAGACCACTTCAATAGATTTATAAGAGGGGCAACATTTAAAAAACGTTTTTTTTTTTCACATGCAGTAGAATCCGGACAAAGTTCCTCTTTACACCAATATATTAATAATATTTAAACGATAACCGAAGAGAATATACGTTAATTTTAATAATGACGTATGGCAATAATTGAATTTATATACTGAGTCACACTCCCAAAATAGTACTTTGTCGGAATCCTATGTCACACACGTGCCCTCGAGAGAAGCATTAAAGAGAGTTCTCTCAATATGATTGTAAAATGTATTTCCGATTGTGATACACGGATATCTTCTGATATAGAGAGAGGGAACGTATTCTCGACAGTGATACGGAGGTGGAGTCGAATAAATCGGGTTTCTGCTGCACACGTTGAGTGTGCATCAAGTATCATATATTTTATAACGGCCGCGTCACGAATCGCGCGCTATTATGTATTTAACGTAATACGACATACATCGAATGCCCACCTTTGAATATATTTCGACCTTGGACATTTCGCGCGTATCGTGAATCAATATCAAAGATGTTGAGAGTTCTCTCAGGTGAGAGATACAATAGACACATGTATGTATTTATATAACGTTGCACTCCTGTTATCCAAGTTGTCATACGTAAGAGAATTAGTAAGCCTCTGTGAACAACGTAATCGACTATTTCTATCATCTCATTGCGAGAAAACTATCAATTTCGGATCGTTAAATTTTACGACGAATATTCACTCGTCTTTGGATTCTTTGAAAAGCCAGCAGAAAGCAAATTTCTCTCCTTTTAAGAAAAATAAGATCAAACGAATGAGCACATGGCATACTTTTTGTCTCTCTTACATAATTAAACTTTCTTACATTTCTCTAAATTACGAACGAATGAGAATTCGTTAAAAATTCAACTCGGACCGAAATTGAACATTTCTCATTAGATAGAATTATCGATTATGTTCATCAACTCTTGCTTGGATCATGCGGAGATACGTGTCAACCCAAGGGTGTATATCACGCTCGCGTGGCGAGCTTTGAGGAGGATTGTTTAAATTCTAAGTAGACATGAAAACACGATGCGTCGGAATGTAGCGTCTATATATCTCCACAGATTAACGTAATTTTATTTTGCTTATTTATATCGCGCGTATATTATTCTTTGCGAGATACGAAATACTTTAAAGATGGATTTGTCGTAACTTACATCGTATCAACACGCAATCATAATACGAATGGAAAATTTCTTATATCGCACCAAGAGACGCGTCTTGCTTGTTTGCCGACCTTCTAGCATTCATTCGTGTTTCGAAGAAGTTTGCAATAATATTTTTCCATTTTCCGCGGGATATATTACAATTTCCCTCACATTTTTTCAAATGGAGATTTTTAGAAAAAGAGTTCCGCAAATACACTGTTTATGTATTTTCATTTTCTCTTCAGTTCTCTTCATTTGTTCTCATTGCTACTTGTATTTCTTTATATACTATATATATATATATATATATACTAAAAGTTCTTTAATTTATTTATACAATTAAAATTGCCAAGTATATTAAAAGAGAATATGCCACACAAGAGTTTCAAAATATATCTCAAGATAGGATAAAATTACTCTATATCAAAGATTAAAAAAGTGAAAAAAAGTCATTTCAAATCACATTAAAACAGAAAGTACTCTATAAACTTTATGCTTCAAGAAGTGGCGATTCTTTCTTTCTCTTTCTCTCTTTGTTTTTGCTGATCAGCTTTTTGCATTTTAGATGATATTCAAATCTCTTTTCATTCTGATGCAAAGTCACATAATCTTATTGCATTGAAGCAATATTATCCCATCTTGCTATATATGTCATGATTAAAGCTATTTAAGAAACTCCAATTCGCAAAAAATAAAATCTTCATCAAGCGACGGTCAATCGATTGCGTGTACAACAATAGTACAACTTTTCACGTTGGCAAAGTTGATACTTCAGCATCATCATCTAGATTTAATTCGCTTAATCGAATAAATAAAAGAAAACGTGAACAGAGAATGGGAATATAATTCTCATAGAAAATTGCATATTAATGTCTCTTTTTTTCGTCGTAGATACTCTTCCAAAAGTAGAGTATTAAAAGCGATCATCAAATTCGCATACGAAATTATCAATACCTTCCCGAATCTCTTCGTTTCGTTCTCTCTTTTTTTCTCTTATATTATTTTCTTTCTCTCCCACTCTTTCTCGCCTTTTTCTCGCATACTTCTTTTTCTTCTTCTTTTACAGATATATCTATAACGTGTATTCCTTACCTCGTTTTCAGTGATCGTCTTAAGAATACGTTTATTAGGCATAAATGCATTTCTATCCTTCTCACATGTTGCATGCGTAAAGGGGTATTACGATAGATTATGTCAACGCGTCGTAGAAATAAAGTATCAACGGAAATATTCGCGCGCACAGATCTCTGATCTCATCTCGTCGACGTGAAAAGCATTTCAAATATGAATTCGAAATGTACGGAGAGACGCGGAAATGAATTTTCCGATGTAATACAGTAATCGTACCATAGCAATGGCATTTGCACGCGCGTTTGTAACTTCTTCGAAAGACGAGCACCATTTCTTTTTTTCGCCCTGTAAACATGCTAAGGGAACGCTGCGTAAAGTAAAACGTTGATAATACCGTGCTGTCGATCGTGGATTCAAAATCTCAACAGCGCTTAGCATCCACTCAAGGGTCAATCAAAGACTAGCGGAAATCGAAAGTTACACAAGTCTTGGGACTCTAAGACCGAGTGCGACCAGCACAGCATTTTCTCCGACGCCTTTGCTATTGCACTCGTTACCCCGGCCATAGTATCGGCCACTCACTTGGTCTGATTGCTCGATTGCTCCAGAGTCGGTGTCAGGCCGATCGGCGCGCCGTTGCTCAAATTCAGTGCAGTCGGGCCTTTACGTGCGAGTTTCGACCTACGGAAGCATATTAAGCACATTCTTTATCGTTTCCATATAATTATCATATATGCAAAATAATATTATACTTGCGTGTTTTTCATTCTCAATAATTAAGATAAAAACAGAAACAGGACAAAATGAGTTCACACTTGTTATACGTACCTAATTTGACCAGCTAGGAGAGGATTAATCGCATACAGCCAATCGTAGACCTCCTTATCGCCTAAAGTCTGCAGCAAGTATCCTCTGTGCTTGGTAACGACGCTATAAATAAAGATAGACGTTTTAGAATGTATTGTACATAATTGTATATATATGTATCTTTCTACAGTTTTCCGCGAACGGTTTACCTGAACGTATTCGGTACTTTCACCATAGCCAACTGATCCTCGGAGTATTCAACTTGAGCTGTGGCTAAATTAATTAGCGCCCTTTCGACAGGATCCTTTTCCTCTCGGAAAATGAGAACATACGGTCGACGAACAGCCTAAAGCAACGAAAGGAAAAAAGATATATTATTAGATCTTGTCACACAGATACACATATACACAGACAAGAGAACATAAGTTTAATGATGACAAACGTACCACCCAGCGTTTCTTCCAACCATTGGTCTTGTGCTCGAGAACGTTCAAGTAGCCCTTTCGCGCGATGACCGGACTAATGCGTATTTCCTCCACCTCCGGTACATACAGTACCAAGTTCTCCTTTGACGGCGAGGATGATCCCAGCGGTGGCGGTGCAACGGTGCATGTTTGATTGGCCGACTCGCTCGCCAATATACTCTCCTGGAGCTCTTGCAATCTAGCCCTCTCCGGCGAACTTAACCTAAGAAGGCACGACTTAGACCTGCTCCATACTATTATATCAGCAGCCTGCAAGTAACACCTCCAGCATAACCCTGAGCCAATCGTGCTGACGGTTGTCGATCTCGGCACGTCGAGACGACTCGAGCGTCTCGAATGCCAACGCGTTGAAATGAATGCGAAAGCGTAAATGTTTTTTGTTAGAAGCTGTATCGCTTTAAAGAAGCGCGATATAATTTGTAGCGAGCCAAACTAATGCGTTATGGATCACACACGTTATACGGCAATAATAGAAGTGTAGTCAAGTGTTACTTTTTTTTATCACTCAAAACACTCGGTGCTTTCATCTATATTTCATGTATTTATATAGAATATATTGGATCAAAATTGTAAAATTGATAATGAACGAATTGAGTATTGTTTTGTTTCAACTTCCAGAGATATAACATTGTTTATCTTGTTCTAAAGAGGAACGATGAAGCAAAGCGTGGACAACCGCTATTAGCAGGAGCACTCATGAGGCATGCAGGAAGGGTTACCTGCTTCAAGAAATCGCTAGCTCTCGCATATACTGACTCTTGAGACGAGGACGATATAACCGAAGACATCATAGACGCGGATAGATCGGTTATGGTATCCTCCCCGGGCGAAACATCAGCAAGTAATATCGGTTCCTTGCTCGGGATTCTTCCTTGGATGAGTTTAATATACTTGGTCGCTAATTCGCGCTCCTTTTCGGTCATTTCCCAGGGTTCATAAACGTCTTTACTGGTCGAGCGTTTCAGCTTTACCGGGCTGGCGTGTGGTTCGTTTGTAGCCTTTGCCACCATGTTACATACGTCCTGAGACAGTATCAGAAAAATATACATATATTATCGTGTATCACGTATATTTTAATAAACATAAGATATACACAGCTACCTTTTCGCTCTTCGTGAAATCGTGCAGAGGTTTATTGCAGAAAGGTAATTTGTCGATGCCGAGTTTCTCCCGCAACAACAATGTGTGCCGTACTCTCTCCACTTCCTCTAGCCTCGTCAATTTTTCGAGTTCCCACTGATGATCAAATATGAGACTGTCTCCGCGCGGCCTCCATCCGTGTAGATTCTCCTCGCCTCTGACATACGTGGAACTCGTGTCCAAAACGCGACGTTGACGTCTTTGAACTCCTACAAATAAATAGGGAAGGAAAAGGGATGGGTATCGAGCAAGAGAGAGAGAGAGAGAGAGAGAGAGAGAGAGAGAGAGAGAGAGAAGAGCCAAAAGTATGAGAAAATATAAAACATCTATCACGTTCATACAAAAATATTTTACGGATCTTTGTTATATTAAAAGATAGTAAGTTGCTTATAGTGCATATTGTCATATTAAATTAATATCTATAGAACTAGAATAATCAACTTTTATAATATTGGAACATTGCTTCTTCTTTTTCCAAACTAGAGAATGATATCGAAGAAAATAATATATATTTTGGATTTCAAGGATTAAAATTATGTTTTTTACGAACATTGAATATATCCGAGATATATCTTTTAGATATGTATATATATATATACACACATTTAAATAAAGAGCATATAAATGCTCTGCAAAGGAAATAAAATATATAGGTTGAAATGAGATTTCTATCTTAATGTGTGATATTAAATGAAGCACGGGACTACACTATGGTTAGACATGACAAACCTGGACTACCTGCTTCCGAAGAACGGCGTAGCACTAGTTCGTAGACGCCGCTGAGTCGATTCGCTTCTTGATTGCGATAGCTGCCGCTAAACAGGTGTTTAAGAGAACGCGGGCCGACTCTTGCGTCCCTTCCGTAGATGATCATGCTCAGATCTTTCGTGATGATCGCAGGTCTTCCACAGTTCTCCAACTAAATCGATACACGTAAGAGAGAGATAACATCTCTAAAAAATATTTCTGAAAACGATTTAAAAATATATCTCTGATACGTACCTCAAGATATGCGGAAATGGTCATAAAGATTTGTTCTCCGTAAGACGTGACTCGATTAAGTAGAGCTGAATTGTGCAGGGAACTATCCCAGGCTGCTTCGAATCTGAACATAGTACGATCGTCACCGGGAATCTCGAGATATTCACCGGGAAACAGACCCAACGAAAGTACAGATGAGTCGTTATCCTCTTCCTCGGGTTCCGGGGTATTTCGGATACGGCCAACTACAAGCTCGCGCACATCCTTCCATCTCAATTCGGAAGCCGGTTCGTGCACAATAGTGATCCGTATACGTCGCTGTATGCCCTGGTGAAGCAGAAACAATCCACGACATGGCAGATCGTCGCTGTGGTCTACCACCGACGGCACGTACTCGCCGTTTGGCGCCAATTCGCAGATCTCGAACCACACTAACACATCGTACTTGGCGTGCACATGAGACGTGCTGGGAGACGGCAGAACGCTGCCGAATTTCGACGAACGAACTGGTTGACTGATCGGTATGGAAGGCGGAAGCATTCTTTTCGGTGGTTGTCGTACGCTGCTATGTGAATACACACAATATGTCTTATATGAGAAATGTTCTTACAAATAAAATATGTAATAGAATTAGAGCATTTATACGATTAACACTCACTATTCTAGCTTCGCGTCCTTGTGTAACGGATGTTGTTGATAATGACCAAACACTTCGAAGACGATAGGTTGTGTCTTCAGATACTCTAAGAAGGATTTGGTGACCGTGACTGTAATCTGTATATCGATAAAAAAATATTACACATAATCTAATTCGGATAAAACTCTCTGTGTTAATCTAAAACAAGATCGTTTCTTCGACGACACTTACGTTTTGTACGTGATAAAATCCGGGCGGATTGCCTTTGCCTGTATTCTTTACCGGCTCTGTCGAGAAAGCTTCGTCGTGTCGATGTAGGAAGCTGCAAAAACAATTGCATTGCAGTGAATTTACATATATCATGTTTAAAATAAGCTGAAATACAGGCGCGCACTTACTTGAATTGACAGAAAATGTCAGCGTACTCTGTAGAAATACCCATAGCTTGTAGGACCGTTACTCTAAAAGTGAATTCCACACCAGGTTGCAAATGATCCGGTAAATCCTCCTCCTTCATGTCGCTCGAAACCGAGCTGTCGCCTCTGCCACTGTCAGCATCCCCTATATCATCCTCGTCTTTCATGTCCTTCTGATTAATCTCGTTGTGTCCCTCGACCACGCGCTCCTCATGCAGCACGATTTGCCGGTTCTTCTCCAGAGTTTGAGCCAAAAGAGTGTTGCGTTTATTGTGCTTGTGCCCGCCAAACAGGTCGTCCTCGAAAGAGATTCGTGCTGATTGTCTAACGCCACTCGAGTATTCGCTGTTTTCCTCTTCTGGAAGAAGGATTCCTTATGTATGTCTTATATATATACGATAAATATATGAAATATAATGACACGGCTACGGATTACGTACCAACTACGGCTTGTACAGCGACTCGCAAGTAACCCTTAACGTCACCCTTCTCGTTTACGATAGCTACTTTGTGAATCAATGGCACCGGATACATGAGATTGCTCAAATACACGAAGGCTCTAAAATTAAATATAGAATCATATTAGTATTATGGCGATTGAAAAAAACACAAAAAAGCAGAAAGTAGTATTTTACATCCTAATCAAGATTGGGAAATAATGCGTTACAAATTTCGTCTTTAACAAAAAACTTGATATATTTAGTTTTCTTTATTTATTAAGGTTCAAAATTATTACCAAATTTATTATACTCATCATATCAATATTTTATTATATTTTATATTTTAATATAAAAAAATGTTTAAAAACTAATTTTAAAAAGTAAATTTTATATATTTTACATATGTATATGTTGGTTTTGTAATAATGTTAAAAAAAGCTTCCTCTATGAGGAAGCAAAAAGAAACGGAAATTAATTCGTCATTTTTTGAATAGCGGTAACGAATTACTTTCATAAAATAAATTTAATTAAGATCCTGATATACACTAATCATATTCGTTTACCTGCCGACCATGCGGAACCACGGAAATCGATCGTAAAACGGATCACCTCCCGTGATGGATTCGATATTGAAATCGGGAGATGTGGGCGAGAGCTCAGCTTCGTTGTGATACATCTCGCGCATCAGCTCCAATCTTTGTCTGAAAAACAGAGAAGATTATTATCTACTACAAATTCCATATAAGAAATAATTATGTGAATGTGATCAGTGTGTTAAATCATCAAAACGTGTCACTTCATCAAAAATTTCTTCATGTCAACTTTTTCAAGTATTCTTCAGGATTTAACTCTCTCTTTCTTGTATATATGAAAAGATATATATATTTTATCGGAACATTGTTAACGATGAGAATAATATTCGCGTAGTTATGATAGTTTAAACAATTTTTTCAATGAAATTATTTAATATTATTTAACAATTATAAGTGAGTATTATATAATTGATAAAAAAATATTGAAATATATATAAACACATATTTGTTATAAAATATGGAATTTTAGAATTTCTTTTCACGTCTGTTTGACGTTATTTTTTTTCATTGTTTTTTTAATAGAGCTGTATCGAATATACACGTGCATAATAAAGTTGAAAAGCGAGATGGTGAGGACACGAGCTCAGCGGGAGATAATAAAGAAGATGTGTTTGTGTTTGAGACAGACGTGCATAGAATGTGAAAAGACATTCTTCTCACATTCAGACATAGAAATGTTCTTTACAGCAGCAGAAGCGGTGCTGCGTATAATAAACGCGATGGCAATTTTTGCGGAGGAGAGGGGGAGGGAGCTCATACATATCTATTCGATCCGATTCATCACGTTACGCTACGAATTGAAAACAAACCATGCAGAGTCGTCGATAACGTTCGCGAACTCCAAGTGCAAAGCTCGATTTCGTTTCTTGTACCGGCGAGCATCGCGTTGCCATATCGAGAAAGCCTCTCAAGACAGAAAAGAGCGAAAAAACGACAAAAAACGCACGGCGATAAAACGCACGACTCTTGCGGCCAGTAATGAAAAGTTCTTCGAGGCCGGGCGTAAAGCGTGTTAACATGGCGATAAGAGGAGAGCCTCGCGCACCAACCTCGAAGGCAAAAGATTTGCGAGCGAGAACTTCGGATTAGAGTAGACTGTAAGGCATTGGAAAATATCCTCTTTGGCCTCCGGAGTGCTGGGGCTCGAGTCCTCGTTGTACACGTGTCGCATCAACTCCAAGCGCTGTCTACAAGTCAACATGTATTACTTTGCTGTGCGTCCTTTTGTATGCGCTTTCTATTCGAATGTCGAATCGATCTAACAGAGATAAGCCGCGATTTTACTTGAGTAGCAGATGTAACTTTAAGCATCCTAGATGCGTGATGCGCCTGGAAAAATTTTTGATCGCCTCGCGATAATACGAATATTGTCACAAAATTGTTTAATTCCTGTATTAGTATTAGTTTCCACGAGCAGGTAATGTTCAAGACATAGTTTTCATTAAGCACGCAAAAAGTGCATTCGTGCATTAGTAACGAAACAAAAGAGACTGTTAAACGCTTCGCATGAAGAGGTTTTATCCCGTTTATAGAAAGTAATAATTGCACGATAATTGTAAAACATGCTGGATGTACAAATTTAATGATATATATATGTATAATGCAATTATAATTTAATTATAAAATTATTTAATAGAATATTGTTAACTTTTTCAAAAGATGATTAATTATGATAGACTTATTTCTTATAAGTATAAAATATGTGCGTTTTACTTGTACTCCTCTTTCCNNCCCTCAGCACAAATGTTTTATTAATTGAAGAAGCTATAGTAAAATATAAAATAAATATATAAAGCAAACCTTAGCTTGTCTAATGTCCAGTAATGTGTAGCACCATTCTTCGTATCCTGGACTTCAACAGCAACGATCGTGCGTGGGAACGGCCTCTCATCCTCATCTTCGTCATCCATAACGGGTAAAAGATCAGGAGGTAGCGGCGAGTAAAGAGTGTCCGTGAGTAAAGTAAATTGGAATTGAACCTAAAAGAGAGACAATTAATGTAGCAAGATCCATTATGCAAAAAAAAAAAAATCTTTTTCACAGGTATTCTCTTTTGAAAAATACGGATTTAACGACACCAAGAAGTGCGTTTTTGTAAAATGCGTACATACGCATATACGCATAGATCATACACGTAAACGTAAGTTTTGTTATTCATCGAGAATATGCGGGAAAAGTTCATATCCGAAAGTGTACGAGGATACATTAGTGCAGAAGCCAAAAATACTAGTAAAAAAAAGTCGTGCTAAAGTTTTTCATTATATGTCCGCGACTGTACCTTCTTTTTTAGTTCAACAGATATGGCATTAGCCTCTTTAAGGAATATCGCGTTGCCCCAAAGATCGTCCCGTAAACTCGTAAATTGATGATATTTCCATTTACGGAAGGCCCAAGCGGCCAGTTGAAATTCTCTCTCGGTCCAGTTGCTCTCTGCGTCAAACAATGGGTTGACTGAAATACAAGCCATTACCAGGCAAAACAGTCAGAGAAAAGCTAAGCATTTCATATAAAATAATACCGATTTTACTTTGTTAAGAGAATATGCTATATCCTATTAACAAATGGGTAGGCTCCATCGCATGCAGTAAACCTTCATAAGTCAATAGTATAATTTACAAAAAAAAAACCATTCGGAATATTACACGTGTTAGGTAAGAGAATGCCCAATCGATCGGGCATAGCTATATCAAAATATATCAGATATTCGAAAAGCGATTATATTTTCCATACTCACCAAAAATGTCTTCTTCGATGTTATTGAAGTCTTCCGGCGTGTAACTGCTGTACATAGACATTGTCATACTTTGTTCCTCCACCTGTCTCTGCAATGCGTCTATCCGTGCTTCGTAGCTCTATTCATAGAAACAATCATCAATTGCAATAATGTATGATATATATGAATTGAAGAGAGATCACGTATGTATTTGTATGCGCACCTTTCGTTGCTCCTCAAACAGCTGATCAGCTTCTTCTTTTTCTTTACGGAACTGTTCCTCCAATACGAGCAATCTCTTTTCCATTTCAGCCTTTAGATCGATACCCTGTTTTTCTAACAGCTCAACCTGCGCAAAGTCCCAGTCTGCGACTGGTTCATTGTTGCCAGGAGTTTCCGCTGGCGATCCGTTCGCTATTCGTTCGCGTACTGTATAATTAACGAAAAAATACATGATATTTTACTCATACATTCTCTCTAGTAAATATCGTTAACTTCTTAAATCACACATATTTTAAATATTACAGACGCTTTATGGTACCTTGATCAGGATGATTAAAACGGAAAACGTGGCTTTTTCCCAGGATAACACGCGAACCAGTCGTTAGAACAAGCGGTTCGGTCACTTCGCGGCCATTGACATAGATCAAAGCTCCTTTCTTTGGAATGAGAGTTATGATGCCCTCGTGGTTTTCGAAAACGCAGTGCTCGCTGAGTATGTGCGGACCACACAGCTGAATATCCTGGGGTATAATCGCCTCTGCGCTACCGATGCGCGTGAATCCGTCCTTGATATAATAGATCAGACATTCCGACATGAGAGGATCCTCGTTCAGATTTACCAAGTGCGGTGTCTTCTTCGGCGAGAATACACCCACTGTGACGCCATCCTCTTTTACAGCGACTCCCATCTCGGCGAATACCGCTTCGCGTTGCAGGCGAATCGATTCGGTTCGTTTCAATTTCTCTTCCCACGTTTCGTTCAATTCTAAAATGAAAGTAGAATTGGTTAGGATATTACGACGACTTATTAATCTCTATGCATCACATATATTACGAGATAAAAATAACAAAAGTATACATTAGAATAATCTCAATTACCTGCGATCAATTTTTCAGATGCTTGCAGTTGATCAACCGCCTCTTCGGCGATAGTAGACGTAGTATGGGAGGGGATTCTCGACCGAGTTTCTTTATTATCTTCTTCATTTCGCTTGTTCGTTCTGATAATTTCATCCCCTGCAAAATAAGAATCGTCAAGAGGCGAGAAAATGCAATAATACTTAAAATGACAAGCCTGCGTCGGAGTCGGTATCGTGTGTGTCGTAATGTAAACATCAAAAGCCATAATTAAAGCAGTGGCGTAGATGAAGAGACATATTTCAGAAGCTGTAAAATTGCTAATTAATTAACCCTTTTCAAGCTTTGGAGATACAATTCGAATAAATTGTGGTGCGTTTTACAAAGCACCGACATGATCTAAATGTGTATGTAATCTAATGTGTATCGCCGTTCGATATCTATTATTATATGTATTTTCGGTTATAAATTTGATCGATTTTTTTTTTTTTTAAATCTTTATGTATTATTTTTATATATTTTTTCTCTTCTATAACATTTTATTTTTGTTTTATTTATTCAATAATTCACATATTCTTATTATTTTTTTTCATTATTCTTGCAAACAATAGAAACATAATTAATCATCGATTTACACAGCATTGATTGACTTAATTTCATTTAAACCTTAGAAAAAAAAATTGTCGCAAGTTATTAATTGCACTGGACATGAGGGAGGGAAGCGCAATCGCGATAGGTATTAACAGGACAGATACGTACATTAAATGAAGATAAAAAAATTCGTGAAGCAAACGTACAAAAGAGGAAATTGACATATATATATGTACCATTGATAAATATATTTTGCGCTTGATAGTAAAATACAAGCGCATAAACGCAAGAAAAATAATAAAATGTCTACGAAAGAGGCGCAAGAGATGGACGATGCCTGTCTTGGCTGTATTCTTTGCTGTTGTATGAATTGTTAGCATTTTTACTTACTAGATTCTTTCTTTTCGTACGTAACTTTACCATCTGGCCCTACGTCGAGCGCAAGGGGAAACAAAGAAAAAAATACTATGTGAATGGATTGCCTCTGTCGCGCGCTGTGCAATGACAATTTATTTATAGCAATCAAAAATTCAGGTAGTTTTATGACATGTATGTTGATTCCTGTAATATTGCTATGTAATCTATATCTAAATCGTAAAAAACACGATCGACAATATTAGCATAATAGATAAAGCAAAAATCATATATTTACGACGATATTAATTATACATAATACACATATCCTACGAATTTATTAAGAGATTCTAATTAGGGGATTATTAGCATTTAATTATTGATCAAGTTATATTCAGTCTGTCCTCGTCTCGTATGCTTTTGATAATAAAAAGCTTTTTGTATATATAATCCAATTTTTATATTAATTTTTAAAGATTTACTAAAAGAAATATTTCTACCTTCTTGTACGTCGATGCCTTCCTGTTTTAGAAGTTCCCGAAGTTTCTGTATTTCTTCTTTGAGTTCTCTGATAAGTCTGGCATTCGCGTCTTCATTGACCACGGCCTTGCAAACGATCTGTTTCGCTCTGTCCGCATATCTATGGATAAAACGAAAATCTTTTAGATCTAAATAATTAATTGCTTCAATATTTTAATTCAAACTTTGGGAGATCAAAAATTAATTCAAAAAATATATAACAGACAATGAAAATCTCTTACCGTAAGGTCGAGAGTGTCTCATCGTAATTGATGTCAGCAGGACTAATTGCTGCGATCATAGCAGTTTTCGAATTTCCGCCCAAATTCTCCCGTAATAACCACGTTAAAACCGAGTCTCTGTATGGTATGAAATCAGCTTTCTTCTTCTTTTTCGTTGCCTATAAAGAAACAAAAATTCATATAAAGAAAAACAATTATATGTTATTTGTATAATTAATTTATTCCCGAAACTCTAGTCTTAATTTCAATAAACTTACCGCCTAACAATCCGCGATAAAGCAGCAAACAAATGCGTAAAAATATATCAACATACAATATCGGTACTTAATATAACGTAAAAATTTGAACAAGATACAATACTTACAATCTCTGCCAGGGCACTGATAACTTTTCCGAGAGTTGTCAGACTCTTGTTAATGTTAGCTCCTTCCTTTAGTCGTGTGCCTTTCGCGCCCGTCGAATCGGCTCTCTCGGATCCAGCCAAATCAACCAACGATATTTTACTAACTTTCTCTGTCATCAAACCGGTGGCGCAGTCCTGCTGCTGTTGTGTAAAGAATATAGTGAAAACAGCGTGCGATCTGCTGGATGTTTCGTTCATGTTTGTCGCTGCGACAGTCCTGCAATGATTGCGGTATGATTTGCACAACGACGTATTATAGAGCATATTACAGAAAGAATTTATATAAATGACTAGTTTGTGTGTGTATATGTGTAAACTAACCTGGCCTTGTTACCCTCGTCTATGAGATCGTGAATGTCTTCGTATGACAATACGGCTAATTTGGAAAGATCTTCGACATAAGGTCCGTAGAGAGGGTGTTCCCTTACTCGAAGATTCCCTCTGTTTTTCGGATTCAATAAATCGCGCACCCTCTCGCAATAGATTTCCATATAACTCACTTCTACCGAATACTTCAAACGCTCGTTAGACGTATAGCTGATTTTCCTAAACAGATCCTTGCAAATCTGTGGTATTATTCCTTCCTGTCCATCTTCCTGCTTACCCATCATGGTATAAGATTTACCGGCGCCAGTTTGGCCGTATGCAAAAATGCAAACGTTATAGCCTGTATAGCAAAATAAAACAAATTGTATAACATCTACAGTAAAATGTACAAATTAATCTTGGTCAATTCTTTTTTTAAAATAATTATATTTGATTTCAATAAATTTTATTTGAAAGATAATGTTAAAGTGCTATTCATTGATAACGTGTGATGATATTTACAGTTTATGTTTACAGTCTCATACAAAAACTATTACATTATTCATATGTTTTTAAACACTTTGCTCAGGTACTTTTTTTAACAAGCCGTTAAAAAAAAAAAGATTTGGAAACTTTCCACATAATCTGTTAACTAATATTTACCTTCAAAAGCGTGTTCCAACATTTCTTCTCCGATATCCTTGTAAACCATGAGCTGAGATGAATAGTTATCATCGTTTGGCTGCACAAATATAAGAAATCATCATGAAATAAATATAATAATATCACCTTAATATCTTTCATTAAAATGAAAAAAGATACACGTACATCCATAGAAAAGTAGGAATAATCATAATTGAAGCTTTTGACAGCTTCTTTGCTTCCCGGTGTGGCTTTAGGATTCACAATGGCTGCAACGTAAAAATAGCGGATGTAGCATATATTATACAGCGTAACTTTACGCACTGCCGGTTTAAATTACGAGTCAACTTACAAGTGGTGCTCCCCGTCATATCTATAATACATTGTGCCTGACGAATGATTTCGCGATGGTTGAAGGGCCGTACCCTCACCGCCACCTTAACCGACGACATTTTTCTTGTTTTTCTTTAACTTAGCGTCGGATAAAGCCGGCGGCGGTGCTGGCGATAACTTCCTCTTGCTAGACTCTCTGCAACAAAATTTTATTTCGATTATTGTAATATCATCGTCAAATTTATTAATGCCACTCTATTATTAAATCTATTAATAGCATAGCCGGTAAATTTTTTAAGTCAATCATCTTACGAGTCATCTAAGAAGAAAAATCTTCTTGCAAGTAAAAGGTCAATTAAAAATTCATTAATATTTAATTTCAATCTACGTTTTTGCAGTTACTAATTTATCTTAAATAATTGAAATATTATTTTATCTTAAGCAACTGCATTATTTCAATAGATTATTTAATGCAAGTAAACAATCGAAAAGCAGTTATAGAATTTAGTCTTCAAAAATATAAAACTCAAAAATATTAAACAAATAACAAATCCCTATTTATGAATTGTAGAGCGAAAAAGATCAGATAAAATCCAATCAAATACAGTAATAAACCAGTAAAATATAATAACAATTCTTACATTTACAAATGTCGTGGAAGCATAGTACGGGTCATTGATCCGTACAGAAATACATAGATTTTATCGGATACCGGAGAATAATTAATTAGTATCGTAACCGCGCGCGCGCGTAATCTATTTGTGCAAAGCTGGAGAAGTCATATCATGCGGAAAATAAGATTACTAACTTGTGGATATTTGAAGAAAGTAAATATAAATTCCTTGAGAAAAAGAAAAAATACTTTACATAAATCCATTTTCAAATGTCAAATTATCTTCTTCAATTCTCACAATTAAATCTCTTAAATATTATTGTTATATAAGAAAGAATTAATGAAAGCACAGAAACATGTATAATTATGCATACAAATGAGTTTTATTTGTAATGAATTATTATCTTAAAAATTCTCGTAAATAATGCATGATCGATAAACAATTAGAGCTTTTAGATATTTAACATTTGCACTATTCACGAAAATCAATCCTTTTATGTACTACGTTTATTTTACTTTGTTATTTTTTTCAGGAAAAAGAAATTTAGATTTATTTTTCGACACTTTTATTAATATATGTGTAATGTCTTATACATTTTCACGATAAATTGAGATATGTCAAAAAAAAATATTTAATGAAACGATGCGTGATAAAGTAATCGAGAGAAAAATGTTTCACAAAAAAAGATATTTTAATTACTATTAATAAAAAAGAAATGTATGTCGCGTCATATAATACATGTAATAATCAATTAAACATATTACAAGGCATATTTTTCATCGGCATAGTGAAAAATATATTGAAATAAGAGTTGAAGGAACTCTGATTTCAATTTAACAGCTCCTGTCTTTTGTCACTATTTCACATAAAACATCTGAAGTGACAGATGTAGATTCTACCAGGATGTGAAAGGCTCGCGGTTGTACGATGCGTACGGGGAAGAACCATAGGAATGTTCGACGTCACCACATTTCAAAAAGGCATCCCTTCTGCGAGGCCCACCCTCGTAATTGACGTACAAAACACCATCACGGCAGCGGTGTGATCGATACGACGGCGTCCGAGTAGTGTTCGCGGAGGAAGGTTCGGAAGGGGCGGAGGCGAGGAACAGCGTATATGTGGATTTTTACGATCGATCGTCTACACGTTCGGAGGATACGTGGTCGGGCCTTACCTTCGGGAAGGGCGCCGTTCGTCTCTCGTCTCGGCGAAATGACAAATAAGATGCGGATTGTGAGAGGAGCCTCGCGAAATGACCTCGCGAGGAAGGGTGACTCTCTCGGGGGCCAAGAGTCGCGGCGCGATGCCTCACGTTGATTCACTATACGTCACTACGTCAGCCATCCGCTGGACGATCCGCGATCCACGAAACCCCCGTAAGCGGACATTATAGCGCGTTCGCCCGCGTAACACTCACGCGTGTAAACCCGCGCACGCATATACACCCCCCTATGAATTACAGCCTGCCTGTCTGTCTATCTATCTGTCTGCCGAGCAAACTTTGGTGAATTCGCTTCTCCGCTGTTGCAACGCCACCCCCGTTTTTACCCCGTTGTGGCGAGTACTGACGACGTATACCTCGGGCGCCTGCGTGCTGCCCCATCGTCGTCGGGGACACAAACTCCTGTCTAGAGTAGGGATACTTAAGTTTAGTAGGGTACTAATACTTCTGCTTCCCTTTGGTATCAAACCAGTGTCAGTATCGATATTTTTCTCGATATTTCCAAGAAAAGCATTCTTTTTTACCAACATTTTAATTAATAGCTATAAAAGCGATTGATATGTTTCGTGTTTTTTTTTTCGCTCTCTTTCTCTAAAATATGATAATATTATCTTCCTGTAGTATTGATGCCTATTTGCGCAAAGAAATACTATTCTTAAGAGATAAATCACGATTATAAAATAAGTTTTACAACTGAATTAAAAAGCGTCTTCTTTTTTATTTACATTATTTTCTATATCTTTACGTTTGCACGAATAAATATATTCTCTTTTTTCATCATATTATACAATTACCTTATTTTAAAACTGTCAAATAATTATGATAAACAAGTCATTCAATTTTAACTTTATATTTATACTGCTCTATACCTCCTAATTTATTGTCTGTCACGGTAATTCATCTTCATATTTTTTGAAAAAATAGCTTAAAAGAAAAAAAGAGCGTGTGTAAAATTATATCGTTGGTTTATTGTTAAATTTAGGATCAGAATCCTATAAGGCAGGTTGTTCACCCCTATATTAAATGTTTTATCACCCAACCAAATATAATACTCGTGGCTGAAAAAAATAAAAATACCTGTATCCTATTAAATTAAAGTATCCCTAGTCGCAGCCCGTGTCTCGAGTTACCGCGTCGTATTTTAACCACTAAGGGGGTAGAGAGAAGAGGGAGCGGAGCAGGTAGCTACAAACCACGCGCGAATGCCTCGTAGGCGGTCGTAAGGGTTGTAATATTCGCTCTCTGCCACGCGCGCAACTCATGATTTCCTTCGCTGGATGGTACGAGGAACAAAGTACCCACGTACGCAAATATCTTCCACTAAGTAACTCCGATCTGCTGAGGGCGAAAAGACACAAGGAGCTAATTAGAACGAAGTTGTCACATCCTGTCAAATTATCTCGACGTACACGACATTCGGATTAATTTATTAGAGCTGTTTTTTATTCGAAGAGTAAACTTACACCATCTATTTTCTTTGATAAAAGAAGGTAGAGTGTGTGCACGCGTACACATATAGGGGAGCAAAGGGTAGATTCCACACCTGAGTGCACCAGATGCACGTTGATCTAATTACATCGCTGAATAGCAGATATTTCAGATATTATCGCGCAAATCATGAGCTACCTGTACATATAAAGACTCTTTTAAAACTTCAACTTTTTTTTATATATATATTTAGGTCGCAAATGATAGCATTGCATGATACATCGTATGAATTTGAATCTCGACATGATTACAAAGCAATCAACTTTGATGAATGTTTAGATACCATCGAAGAGAGATTGCATTTGGATTAATACTTTAATAGCGGGAAAAGAAGAAATCATGTATACCGAAATCACGGTCAACTCGAACATTAAAGAATTAATAATGAGATGCGAACTAATATTAAATACTTATTAAAAAATTTGAATTATTAAATTATATTGAGATCAGATATAAGATAAAAAATGTTTTTGTTAATAATGATAATTTTTTTTTGTCTACATTCGGAACGGGCAAATTCATCAAACCCGAACTCAATCGAATGCTATTCGTTTTTATATTTAAACCGTAAAAGTAACGGTAATAATATCGCTATATAAAGTGAAATCGGACGTTTTTATTTGGCACAATTAATAAATCATCAACATACATGAACATTTATTAAAATATTCGCATGACCTGATATCCATGCTCAAAAATGATAGACGTCAAACTTAATAAAGAACAGATAAAGAGATGAATAAATCCATTTTATAAATAAAAAACTGAAGTAATTAAATAAATTTTTGATTAAAAATCCGATTGTATATATCCAATTCTCATCAACTTGATCGTACAGCCTAAGGGAAGGAACTTTAATTAATTCTAACTACAAGTTAGTTTACTTCCTTAATCAATTATTTTCGTAAAAATCGATACCAAAAATAGACTTGACAAGTTGTGTTATATATATATATATATATATAAACGCGCCAAATATTTTGCAAATTTGTCGCAAGTTTATAATTTCAATTAATTTTTTAAACAGAGAAAAAAATCGAGGGTTAAACAAGACCAATAATATCTCAGATATTTTAGACACGTCCTTCAGATATCCTTATGCCTTGCGCTTTTACGTGATTTAATATTATATAATGCACAAACAATTTATCGTATCCTCGAATGAATACATTAAACATGCCATCGTATATAAAAGAGACATTGGTTATTAATACCTTTCAGCTTTTATAACAGCGTATTGTATATACGTTTAGAAGCGAAGATGTCGAGCATGGATGTCAGTCCGTTCTAAATATGCTTTTGTAAAAAAAAGTCGGGCAGTGATTGATTTGATTATTGTGTGTGTATGCATTTAAAATATAATATTTCATTAACTAAGAATTAATCACATATAATCAGACCTACTGTAATCTCAAAGCTTCGGGGACTCGATTTTAGTGATGGGATATAAAAATACTCTTATACTTATGCGATGAGAATCATTCTATGAAATTGTTTCTTATTTCCAAAAAATCTTTGGATGATCTTAGAACGATGCATAATATTCAAATTGAATGTTCTATCCATGGAAAAATATTTAAGCGGCCTTCGCATTGAGATGCAAGCATTATTTATCGGAGATGGAAGGGTGAAGAGACCATTCTTACGCGAGATACCCTCATGTTATAATAAAAGCTCCATATAGACATATAATATACTGTATGTACTTTATCATACAAATCCGTATTATGAGCTTTTAAAACCGAACGAAAAGCTCAATTCGGAGAAGTATTGTCAGCAACTGGACCCTATAAAAAAAAAAAAAAAATTCTCATCTGATACGTTTTATCAAGAAACACAATAGTGCCTCGCGTTAAGTCTATGATTGGCTATCGATCGACGATTCCCCGCACGGAGGTTTTACATATATATGTATATATATATATAATAAAAATAAATTATATATATATATTCAGGGTGTCTAGGCAAATTTTATAAAAAAAATTCCCTGAAAATTTCCTGATCTTTCAGGTATTTTTGTTCAAAATTTCAGATAAAGAAAACATTTTAAATCAATAAAGCATTACCAAAAAAAATTTTTTTTAAATTTCCTTTTTCTTTTTCCTTGGGAGTCCCAATAAAATTCCATGAGAATTCTTTTTCCTTTTTCCTTGGGAGTCCCAATAAAATTCCATGAGAATTCCTGATTTTTCTCCAGGTGTAAAAAAAAATCCCTGAGAATTTCAGGTTTTCCATGTTTTTCCAAGGATTAGACGCCCTAATATTATATATAAATATAAAATTAGAATGCGCATTGGTATTCGGCAATCTCGTCGAAATGACGTATAATTCAAAGGTATTCGATATCACTTCGATAAATTTCATTCGCGTCCCCGCACGTAAGTCATCACGCGGCATTCTAGCGGGAAATCTCATTTTGCGAAATGAAGGAATTCTTTGGAGGTCACCCCCGTACCCATAGAAGGTATAGCGGCATGTAAATTCACTTGAGCGATCGGCCATCAAGCTGCGGATGAGTCCAGAACATTACGAGGCCGATTAATCGTTCATCTCCGTTCGACACAGCTTACCTCCAGGGGACGAGGGTGAAAGCGCGCGTCACCCTCTGCGTTCTCCGAATGCGATGACGGTTTACGCCCCCGGAACGTGTTTCCATCTACGTTCTTCCTATGAAATTCTCGACCGGCATAGCATTAGGGGTGGTGGTTGGATTAGAATCAACGTGGCCGCCCACACACTCGCGCCCGAGTTTATACGTGTAAACGATCTCATACATCTATGTGTGTATACATATACACACACATACACACACACACACACACACACACACACACTTTATTTTCGGATAATCAATATTTTACAACAGGATGTTTGAAAATTGGAACAGTCGATTTTAATTACGTATTATCGTATAATTTAAAGCGATTTCAATTTCTGAAAGTCATCTATTTTCACGTCATCTGTATTTTTAATACGTCAGACTAAAATCTCGATAAAATTCGAATTGTTTTATTTTCTAATAGCTTCTTGAAAGTCAATCAAAAGTATTCTGAATAAATTTATTTATTTATTTATTTTATCCACATCTCTCCATTTTAATTTATCATCCCTTTGAATTGTTTAATTGGTTCAAAAACGATTTATATGTCTAATTTAATGCTCTCTGACATATGTGTTAACAAAAAATAGTTTCCGAATTTAGTAAATAATCTCTAATTGAAGAAACGATATTTTTATAAAATATGTATTTTATATAGAATATTCATTCTGTTTCTTTCATTTCCAATAATAACATAATATCGCTCATTCTCATTTCAATATATTGATATATATTACATGCTGATATAAAACAATTATCTAGAAGCTACACACATACACACACACACACACACACACACACACACACACACACACATACATACAGATGAATTACATCGATGTGCGATGGGTGAAGGGTTGCGCGCGTCGATCGACAACACCGTGGTGGTCCAGGGCCGTTTTCTCTGGCCGCTTTCCCGGTTTATGGACCAATCGCGTCGCGCCTAGAGGGAGAAAATCAATAGCCCGCGGAGGCACACCGAGTGACGTCAGCCTGCAACCCCGACGATCGACCGATGCGACGCAGGCGGCGCCGGCCAATTTCCACGGAGCACAATCAATAAGTAAGAGATATCCACGACGACATCGCCGATGGTACCGCGCGCGCAAACACACACGCCTACACACGCACGGAAAAACAGTTGGCGCGCACGGTCTAAATGTTCTCTCTCTCTCTCTCTTTTCCTTCGACGTCAACGTCAATTAACCATACAAAAATCATCCCCTTTTCGTCACCGACTCTCCCTCCCGAGAGCGAATTATTAACACGTAACGTGTCTG